AATCTGGGAGTGGACAACCAGTTGCTTCTCTCTTCCTTATTCGGTTTGGTAGTTAACACGCAGATAACGGGTCGCCGGTTTTTACTCTGAAGGTGGCTGTTTGGGAAACATTCAGGGGTTTTTTTGCACAGTAAAAATGATATTTAAATGAGTGGCATCAATTGATCAAAGATTTAACACTCAGTTCACATTCTGTTTTAGACTAAGGGTAAGAAACCCTGCCTGTCTCCAAGTGTTTGTAAAGGTTCTCAATGGAGCAAGGATATTGGGAAAATAATATGCTCTGGAACATAAAGTGCTTTGTTAAAGTATTCACCCCCACCAGCAATGATATCCCATTTTGCTGAATTTCGAACTAAATTACCTGCCCTTGGGTGAGCGACTTTACTGGTTGAGGCACTCTGTAGGCCCGAAGTCCGAGATCTTGATGGATGACCTGAAATTTGGAGGAGGTGATGAGGTACTGAGCCATAGTGTGCATTGAAATTAAAGGAATTCCCCCTTGAAGTGTACAGTTACTCGAACGAAGCACAGAATGGCAACAGAGGGGAAACGGAGAGCAGTCGAATCCGGTCTTCTAAAGACCCTCACGGCCAGTGCTGCCTTGGGGATTAAATGTAGTTTAAACAGGATCTGTATCTGTGGTCTCACATTTGCTTCCTCGCAGAGTCACAGAGTGGTGAGATGCACAATTGACTGAAGCATCACAAAATCTTTGCAAGCACAGAGTAATACATCATCGGTTACAGATTGTTTAGAGCGTTAATTGATTTGGAAATTCCTTTTGCCAGGGGATTTCTTCTGCCGTCTGACATTTAACAAAAATCAGAGGACCTTTGGGTGCTACCTGGGGATAAAAACTGGACCAAGTAGAATTAGAAACTCTAGATGTAGATGCAGGGCTGAAGGAAAATGTCATTGATTAATTATAGAATTCTCGTGATCATTTTCTCTTGATTGATTATCGGGAATATAGGAGGCACCTCTGGTTTCTTCAGCAGAAAAAAAGAAAACGCTCCTACTGCGATTGAGCTGTAGATGCGTTCAGCGACTGTGACGGAGTGTGCTTAGTGTTGTGGTGGCATTCTCTTTCATTCATGCCCACCGAGTGGCATGTCTAAAGGCCATTTGTCGAACCTGTTACAATAAGTGCTTGTCTTTAATGAGGAAGGCAATATATTTGCTGAGTGCCAGCCTGGCCCAGCTGCGCTCTTAGAAAGGGATTCACGATTATAGTCCCCCCTCCTTAAGGGTGCTCCAGCCCTTTCACTTGTGACTTTATTCTGTTTTTCCCAGCCCACCTTAAAAGCCAGGCGCTGACGCTCATCCGGGCTCTGCATCTGATTTCCGTATCATGCGAGTCCGGGACCTGGAAGCGCCTGGTCCCGTTAAGGTTTTAACCCCCCGTTCCTGTTCCCCGTCCGCCGGTTCCGACCCGGCCTTCGTGGTTTTAATTCCGAGTTCTGATGGATCTCCTGGTTTTGGACTTACCCTTGCGTTTTGGATTTTCCCTAAGGACTACTCTCTCGGATTGTTCGCCTCGACCACGCCTCCCCCGTGCACCAGCGCACCTTGGACACGCCCCCTTGTCTTCAGCCCCGTTTTCCTGCATGACGTTTCCCCAGTGTTTCCCCACTCCGTCGGACTGTGTCGTCCGCATAGGGTCCGGAAAGAACTGTCCGTTACAGGGAGAGTAGCTGGACAGCAGCAGGTGGGAGGACTTCAAAGTAAAACTCGGGAGAGAGAGATAAATTTAACCCGTATTTTTTCAGAAATGCACAGATCTCATAAATGAAATTGGATTATATTTGAGTAGCCCCCCAAGACAAAGGATAGAAATGGAAAAGTACAGTATGCACTAGAACACCCTGCTCCTTGCAAAAGTATTCACCGCCTTCCAATGATGTCACAGTTTGCTGATTTTTGTGTACACACATCGTGTTTACTATTTACGTATTTTAAATGAATTATGGTAGATCAGAACTTGATTGAACGCTCAGTCTCAACACCAGTATACTAGGGGTTTTATATTTCACGGGTGAGTGTTGTTTTTGCAACTCCCTCCCTTACCTTGACACCCTGTTTCTTTTTCAGTTGTCATGGATGACACGCCTGATTTATTTCAAATTAAAAAGGAGGCATACTGTACTGTAAATCAATGAAACAGTAGCTACTGTAATTCTTTTGTCTGGGGCCTCAGGTTTGATTGGTAGTCATTTGTTTGCATGAATGAGGGGGCCGTGTTCCCCCTGGGTGGTCTGCTTTTCGACTGGACTTGCCCCCTGCGTTGTGTTTGCTCTGTGGGCAGCTGCAGGTGAAGCAAACAAGACTTGAAAGAGGAGCCACAGTCCCAGTTACGCAGACAGGCTATTAAATCTCGGTAAGAAATAAATTCGTTGACAGTATCCCGAATTTTTACAAATTCCACATCACAAAATCACGAACTTTGTGAAAGTACTGTATACCGTCCGTGTTGTCGAGAGTTTGCGAGAATTGTGATGTGAGGTGGCCCTTCCTGCTCACTAGTCACTGTAACGAGTAATGTGACATGATGTACCAGTGAATAAATACACGTTCTACGGCAGACCACAGAAATGTTCCAAAGTTATCTGCATGCAGATTTAACAAGCAAGTTAAGTTTGGCAAAACTGTCTTGAATCTGTTCCGTCTGGATTAAAGAGACGTGTATATTCACAAGCCTACTTGTTTACAGTGTGATAAGGCCGCTTCACCTCACTGGAATTTTTTTTGCTTTGTTCTGAATCACAGAATATGGCGCTGCGCAGACCTGGAAATGTAATCTATTTTGTGATGTAAGTTGGACGTTTTACAAGTAACTGTGTACATTTTACTTTGATTGTGGTTTGAAATGCACTCATCCGTGCCGGTTCTTATATTGCTGTTCTCCTTTGAACTGCTGGCGCAAAAACAATCAGCACTGTTGTGTAACTAAATGCGGAAGAGCAGTTAACCTAGAGGGGCAGGGGCTTTCAGGAAGAGTAAGGCTTGCAGGGCAAGCCCAGGGTTTTTTTGTCCTTGGTGTTTCCGTTCCTTGACAAATGAGCCCCGTCTCTCTCTGCTCACACCCTTTGCTGCCCTGCGTTGCAGAGTGACGCGAAGGTGAAGTTTTATGACTTCATCAGGGTCCTTGCTGTTGTCTAGGTGAAGGTCAGCCCAGCAACCTTTCCGCTCGGATCATCGGAGGGCCGGGCCGGGGACGAGCAAGATGTCTGTTCCTGGTGTAAACTGTTGCCGTCGTTCATAATCAGTACCAGTTCTTTTCCGAGAACGACACCGGCTGGTGGTGAACTGCCTTCGGGGCAGTGTGGAGGGAGAGGAGGGGGGTGTTGGCCTGTTGTATGGCTCTTTGGCTTTCGTCTACAGAAATGATTAACTTTTTAAGTGGGATGAATGGGTGCCCATTACTGGAGCACTGGACCAGAGTGCTCCCCAGAGAGTTCAATTTGGGCACGCTTTTGCACGGTTGGCAGGGGCAGCGCCACATTTGTGTGGGAGAGAGGCTGAGGGAGGCCTACAGAGAAAATCAAGGGTCACTCATTTTTACCTTCACTGGGGAGTCCACTTTGTTGCAGGTTTTACACTTTCCGGAACAGAGGGAATTTCCCATTTTCTGAGTAGAGCTAAAAGATGTGTGCAGTTAATGACAATGTCTTAAAAGGGGGACTTTTTCCTAACAATCAGAGAAGGACCTCCCATTCCTAATGGAAATTACACTCATTTGTAGTAGTAATCAGTGACTGGTTTCTAATTATATCAAGTTGCATCTATTGGTCTAAACTGGCTTAAAATGCTTAACAGTTAACTTCTACTGGCAATTTGGAGAACACAAACTGTCTTTTTATAAACGATGCTCTTTAAAGTATAAACTGGTTTCTACCGGGCTTTTAAACCTTATGCACAGGACAGTACTGGTCACCAGTAGATACCAGCTGGAATTTCTAGCCGGGATAAGGAAAACCCTACAAGTCTTATTGCTGAACTCCTCTGCCTGTTTCTCTGCTACGTAGAGGCATCACTCTGCACATGCCATTGATCTGAACACCCCCACATGTGTTCCTGTCCTTTACCTCCCTGGAGAACCCTTCCCCCCGCATTCCCAACAGTGGGCTTTTCCTGCAGAGTGAGACCTCTGCAGAGTGCAGTATGGCTGTAAGTGTATGGGGAGCAAGAGGGTGAATAAGGTACTGTACAGTGAAGAAATGAGATTGTAATCTTCTTACACCTTGAATATACAGTGTGCAATAGTCATGGAAGTTACATTTCAGGAGGAGTTACTAAGAGCACTTCACAAGGCTTCAACGGTGCTTCTTGTGGTTCTACCGTACTGGAAAAAGCCTCACACGATACTGCAGGAGTTTCCAAAACACGTGTGAACTCATTTATTTTTAGCAAGATCCACCTACTGTACAAGGTCCTACTGTACAAGAGGACTTTAGGAAGCAAACATAAATGATTCTCCAGCACGTTCGGTTGTAAATGATTAATGCTCAATTGGTACAGAAAGGAAAACCCGAATCTGGCTAACTGGCATGTGTAAAGAAAGAGCACATGGCTGGGTACGTTTATCTTCAGATACACATTTAAAATTTTAAATGGCCACGTGTGCTTCTCGAAACACATTTCAAATGGGCACAGTGCTTCTAGAAACACATTTCAAATGAGTGTCTGTGATTCTAGAACCACATTACAAATGAGTGTGTGTGATTCTAGAAACAGTGATCAAAACGAGAAGGTAAGTTCAGATTACGAAGTTTGAGCCGTCTCGGATGACCCATGTGATTTTTCAGGTATAATTTCACTTTGTGGTAAACGCGCCGCAGGAACATCAGTTTTTACCCATGTCTGGAAATGGCTCTTCTCTGACTGGCTGGACGTCAGTGGTTGCCCTCCAACAGGCCAGAACTGTGTTTACCCACTGTGGCAGCTGGGAAACTGCTTCTCTTCTTTGCTATACAGCTGGCAGGCTTGCAGTGTTGCAGAGTAGTGATGCTCCATTAGCCCTCCCATATCTGACTGAAACCTCTGCAGGATCCCAGATCCCTTTCTAGTGTTCCAGCCTTCAGGATCCTGGTGCACCCCCAGAAGCTCCCCAGTCCCCACTGCGCAGCCTGCAGGATCCTGCCGACATCAACTGAAAGCACGAAACTGCAACAGGAAGAGACGCATCTCGAGGTGAAGAACCTACCTCCAGCCGGCCTTTTACAGCACACATCACACACAGACTTCCAGTGGGGGTGCACTCTTTCAGCTCAGTGAAAGCAAAAGAGCCTTCACGGTAAACTGTAAACTGTGAGACGGTGAGCAAGTGTGCCTTCAGCTTAGCAAAGGTACCCAGCCTGGCAGGACTGCACTCTGGGAAACCAAATTTCTAATGCCTTATACTGTACCATTAATGCATTTATTCATGCTTTACAATCATATACAGTAAATACTCATGAAATGTGGACATGACACTACTGTATGGAAGCAAAAAAAGTCTTATTTTTATATAAAGTATATATTTTATATAAAAAATCAAATACATTAGCCCACAAGGAGCTCCTTCATGTTCCTAGCATCAGGATTAAAATGAACTTTCTTTTCTAGCTACTTTAAAACAGGCTCTGACTGGTGTGCAATCAAGAGAATTATGAGTATCAAGAGAGTAAGAGTACAAAAATATACATGTCCTTGATATCTGTTCATTTATGGATGTTTTAAAGGGGAAAAAAGGAGTTTTAGCCTTTGAGGAAAAAATACATTCTGTATTTCAGAAAGTTCAAAATTATTTTGAGGAATTATATCTGAGTGCTTTAAAAGTTTTCAAACTTTTTTTGCGATAGTGTACATTATTTTGTTGATATAAGTAGGATCTCTCAATATATGTCCAAACTTGAATTATAATTTCATTTTCAAGAAAGGCTGTCATTAAGCTCCTCGTTCAGTCCAATGGGAAGGTGCTGTACTTCTGTGCTTTCTTACTTATGAATAGTTTCAGTATTATACTTGGTACCAGGTTGAACAGAGAATGTGAAGTTCACAGTCATGGATGCTGGTGTTTAAATGTTCTGCCCTTTTGTGTTTATTTGTTAGTGTCACTACAGAAGAATTCTCCTTAAAGCTCAGAGTCAGTGAGTTCACAGTTCAGAGACAGGTTTCACATGGGTCTTGATCAATACAACCTTCCCGTTATCTGCTGTCCTTGGTGAGGCGATAACTTAGCTGCAGCTCTCTCATGTGCTCGGCTTCAGAAGCAGGTCATTTTCTTTGAGGCTCTATGGAAGAGGAAAATAGAAATGTGCTGTACTGTATATCATGCATATTGAAAAGAACATTTGGAGAGATCTGAGAAGGAGGGTCCTGCTGAAATATTGCAGACTATCCATAAGAATTAGGATCCTAAAGCCCTGTTAATAGTTGAGCATGTATTACTATAACCCGGCCTTTTAATTCACAGTAATATGGTTTATCCATTTTGTAGATATCCTTCTGAAGTCCCTGCATATATCTTTCTTTTTGTATTTTCCATCACAAGTTTTTTTTTTTACTAAACTGGCAGCTCAACTGGAATGTAATTTTTGAAATTGAGTTTTTTCAATTTCTCGTTCTCTGGTCAGATTCCCCAGTTCTACAGTTGTATTCCCTAGCTTCTGCCAGCTGCTACCCAGTCTTTGGGCTATTATTTATACTAAGAGCCTGGTCTTCTTATTCTGTTTGATTATCCCAGGAGGTCGAGTTGAATACAGGATCTCTACACCCTCTGGCAGGTTGAACAGGAGTTTTCTGATCACATGCTGCGTGATGCTTTGCACTTAGCAACCTCATCCTCTTTGGCAACATAGTACTAGGATCCTTTTCGGATATTCTTTCTTCGTCTCGTTTGGTCAAAGGCCACAACCTCTCAGGAGTTCCATTTCGGTGGATATCACGGTAGCAGACATCTGTGATTAATGTATTTTATTGTAGAGGAACTTGCACACCAGCATCTACACATCTTGACAGAATGCGACATTGATCCAGAGACCAAGGCTATTGGAAGTCTCATTCTGCTACAGCCCTTGTCTGCCGCAATAGCCACTCAGATATTCCAGGTGCCACGTCTTCCTCCACCTGTTCTGCTCTCGAATGTTGTTTGCCAGAACTCTGCTTGTTGTTACGGGCCTTCCCAGGAACCAAAAAGTCTCCAGGACCGAAGGAAGGCTTCCCCACTCCACCCTGTCAGTGTCAACCCTCTGTCACGCAGGTCCCACTGCGAGGACAAGGGGGTGCACTCTGGAACCCTAAAAGCCTGGCGGAATGTACTGTAGAACAGCGATGTGAAATCGCTGTGTAAAAGGACTGTAGATCATAATCGTGCAGTGAAGCAAGGCGTCATGCAAACTGGGGCAACTCGTGGTGTTGTAATCGTGCAAGAGTCTGGAAGTGTGCAAGATGTCTCTCTTTATATTGGAAACTGCTGTACAGAATAAAAAAGAGTGAGGTGGGAAGTCAAGGCCATTGCATTGTCTGTGGAGCAAATGAATCACAATCATTTTCAGTCTTGTGGCGTAAGGCTGAAATTCAGGTTCTTTTTGAATTGCTTGATGTCTTTTTTTTTTTCCCCTCACCAGACCGATTTCGCGTGCTCTGCAGGCCCGGTCCGCGGTGTGGGTTTTGCTGCAGGCCTGCGTCAGCTGTGAAACAGAACGCCAGAGGCACAAGGTACGTGACCCTCCTCTTCCCACTTCCTCACCAAAAGGCACGCGAGTCCTCACTGTGCGGGTCAGAGCAGCTGCAGCACGACCACAGACACTGCCAGGCTGGCACCCCATGCCTGTGCAACAGCTTTGCTTCTGTTATGTAACAGGAGAGGAGCAGGGCAGCCCCGCTGCAGTGTGGAGTGCATCTGAATGTTTTTTTCTCACAAGGGCAAACCCAGACACCACTTGCTTCACACTTGAGTCTGTGCGATTTGCTCCACGTTTCCCCTCCCTCAGCAGGAGGGAGATCAAAACACATTTAAGAATAGGCCCGAGAACTGTAGCTGGCATTTTACCAGTCCGTCTAGTTGTATAAATGTCTAACAAAATATGAAATTTAATGAACTTGGTAATTTTCCCCCTCAAAACAGCTTTGCATATCCTAGAAATTCTCGCTGTACCAGGTACGTTGTTCAAGGTCTGTCTGATTTTGTGTTCCTGCTTCTGTTGCTTTTTAAGGCACTGTTTGTCAAACATTTCTCTTGTATTCATCCCATAAAAGCTTACTCAGTGACAGATCTGGGGGCTGGGGGGAGCCGATCGTGCTTTGGAGAACCTGCTGGCTCTTTGTTTCCTCTTTGTAACATCTGCAAAACATCGATTCATACAATAGAAATTTTTGGTTCTGCAAGCTCAATTTTAATCCCCACCAAATTGATAACAATAGATTAGATGTATACTCACACTAAGGTAGTCTGTCCAATGATACCAGTGAGCCAGTACACACATCAAACACCACTGCATGTACAGTTTGGGAACACAAAAGCAAGTGCAAAAGATTTGACTGTTACAATGACAGCAATTACTATAACGCTGTTCAGACCCTAACTGACCTTGTGAACAGACTGAACCCAGTTTTTCATAGATGGCCCATAAAGACTAATGTATCCTTAATTGCCAGATTGGAATAGATGAGGATAAACAGCGTCTGTTGCGTGTGGAAAAAAACGTCTTTTTTGTTCTTTGTCATCAAGTACATTCAAAGTTTATCAAGCTGTTTCATACATGATATGACAAGACAGCACGCAAGTTGGCGGTGTGCTTTTTGGCCGTTTTGAAAAGTTGCACAAGTAGGAAAAAATGTAATCAATAACGCAGGCAATAGTGTCAACTCCAGACTACACACCGTGTCCTCGAGGCTGGAGGGATTGATCGCCGCAGATATATCTGTCTTGGCGGGGCACAGCTCAGAGGACAGCACGTGGCAGGGGTGCAGACTCAGGACTGGGTCTTGCGGCTTCAGGACACACACACATGCCTGCTGTTATACTGGGAGTGCGGGAACATACAGTAGTTGGACATTTAGAGAATTCCAACAGCTGGTCTGTTGTCTATGCTGAGTGACTGTGTGGCTGCCCAGGTGTGATTTTTTTTTGTTTTAAGTGGGAAAAGTGCTTTAACTGCTGCACTGAGACAGATTACTGTTGGTCCTCCCAGGAGCACAGCCATGAAGAGCTGGATATACTGTGGGTCGTTTGTGTAATCTGGAAGCTTTTGAGTTTACAGTTGAACGGATTGATAAAATGTCTGTCAGAAATCTTTTTACTCCCTTTTTTATCATTAAGCTTGGAGAGTAGAGATCGATAGGGGTAGATGAGCTATCATTTTTACCGTGGGTTTTCATATACAGCACTGTCAGCTGTTGCTTGTCTCCATAGCGGCTGGCTGAGAATTTGTGTAGCTTTTTGGAAGCACCTGTAAATCCTCAGGGGTCAATGAACATTTATCATAATGCTGTCTGTTTTTTCGGGATTCTATTTCAAATCCTGTTACGAATGCTGGCACAGCAGCATCCTCTACAGTAAATTGAACTGGAAGATGTATTTGTCTAAACTGATCTATTGTGAAATAGACTAACCAGCTGTTTATACAGTGAGCCTGGGATTGGCTGGTGTGAACAGAGCAAAACAGAGCAAAACGGCAGAGTAGTAACACTACAAAGTAGTATTTATCACAGGTTCAGGTCTTGTATAGTATGGCATTGGATGGCAGGCACACTTAACATATGGGTGACAATGGCTGCTTGAGTCGGGACTTTCCATGACTTTTGTGGAAAGCTTAAGACATGCACGAAGCTTAAAAAAAGCTTCAGAATCGATAGAATTGCCTTGATGCTAGATACTGTGTCACTGCAGGGTATGTGGAAGTCTCACCTTTTGCTCACCTTGGTTCTATACATTTTTCTGGCGCTTTCTCATTTTTGCACCAATAAGGAAGGCTTCCCCACTCGCTAGAGCTTTTTAAATAGGCAGCAGAGTGCTTCAGAGATCTAGATCTGCTTGTTAAAAGAGCTCTTTGTTATGAAAACAGGCTCCAAAAAACAACACTGCCAAAACACTGTTCGGTAAATAGATTTCACATCTGTGCAACTCATTAATTGTGCTGGAGTCCAAACAACAGCATCCCATCCACCACTGGCTTGACATGTTCTGGCTTTTTAAAATTTGATATCAGTTGTTTCCTATCTCAGGATGGCCGTATGTTGCCAATCAGTATTGTTCAGCAAATGCTGCTGTGGCAATTGAATTCTGATTCGTTGGGTACCTGACCTGACAGGAACTACTACATGTACCCACAAATATTTCAATGTATGTGCAAACTTCTAAATGCTGGAGCAAGCTGCACACTTCCTGTCCTGAAAAAAGCTGACACCTCCTCTTTGGGCTGGAGGCTGTTGAGAAGGAGGCGTGAGAAAAGCGCTTCATGTTTCTCAGAAGCACAAAAGAACACTTCGAGCCTGTGGTTTGTTGAGTGACTTCCTCTTGCTGCTTCTGACTGCTGGGTTGGGCCAGTCTAATAATAGTCTACAGACACGGTACAGTGCCAGAGGCCAATTGACAGACCAGAATGTCGTGAACACAGGGAGAACATGCAAACTCCACACAGACTGCACCCTGGCTTAGGAATTGAGCCCAACCACTGCACCACCATGCCACCTCACTGTTTCTACCAATAAGCTATATTGGTACTTACAGGAGTAGAATTTCAGTGCTGTAAGGTTCCTGAAAAGCACTCAGAAACAATCTTTACAATAACATCACTATATTCCATTTAACAATATATCTACAACATACCATACTAAAGATAATAGCAGTAGTAGCAGCAGTGGTGATGATGCTTATGCAAAAATAATATTTTTGCAATTTGAGAATAGAATTAAACAGTTAAAGGAGGTCAGCAGAGCCAGCGGTAGCGCTTTGAATACAAAAAAATTATTCAAATTGTACTGGAACAGGATCTGTATCTGTGGTCTCACATTTGCTCTGATAACTGAAAGCTAAAAGTAGCATAGAGGCAGTGTACTTTCATGGTTAAGAGCAGGGTCCACAGATCCGATAAAGGCAAGCAAACATGTCTGTGACGAACAGGAGCTTCTGTAAATTTGTTTTGCAGAGCAGGTGAATAACATTGTTTTATAGGTCAAAGCAGAAGTATCTGGATGGAGAACAATCTACGGCTCTTCATAGCATCCTGGCTGTTTTAAAGACGCCAGTGTTGCCAGAATTGATCTGTGGCTTTTCTTTCAGACTCTGGAACTAATGAGTAATAGGTTAAATACATGCAATGAAACAAAAATTCTGATGGTGATTTGGTTGCACAGTTACAGTACAATGCATCTCCTGCAGTTTTAAGAGTCTGAGTTTTTAAGTGGTTCACCACAATAAAAATGACGTTTCATTTCCTAGTTTTGTTATACCTACAGTAGGTTTGGTTTTAGCTGTTCTTGAAGTTTCAGTAGGGCTTTCCGCCCGATATCAGTTTCCAGCAGGCACTGCACCTGCTTTGAAATATACTCATAATATTAGTGTTGTTTCCTGAAGAATAACAAAATTCAGCATGAATTTTTAGAAGAGCCACTTCTCACAGAAGCTGAACATCATTCTACATCATTTTCATATAAAAGTGCCTTTCAAGAGTCTCAGGGCAATTTAAACAAAAGTCAAAAGATAATTTTTAAAAATGGCATCATAATCAATGCACATACTATACTGGCAAGCACCAGTGACACAATGAGAATAAGTATCAGCTAAAAGTAAAAACAGAAAGAAGACTTATCTGCTTTTTAGCAATGGTTGGTGTCTGAGAAGCACAATTCAGCTGTTGTAAGGAATTTATTTAGAGATTTAGATTTAGAGAGAGAGCAAACCGGGACCTTCTGACCATGGACTACTGACAGAGGGAGTGTAGAGAACATTTTCGCAGTTTGTGCAGAGAATTATTTGTGTAGAGATACCAAGACCATTGAGAGGCTCCTATCATTTCATGAGTTGATAATGGAATGTATATTCAGGCCAGAGAAGATTGGTAATAACAGGACTAGAGCTTTTCTTATTATATTATAGATTTTAACAGAAAAAAAAACAATTATGTGACACAAGTCAACTGTAGCCACTGTCTAAAGAAAAGCATTAGGACAGGAAGAGCATCCTAATATATTTCCACAGCTGTCGATTGTTTCTTTTCATTCAACCTTACCAGGGCTCAGCATGTCAAGCATGACCCCTAGAGGTGAAAGGTGAAAGGTGACAGCAGTCCCTGTTCCTATTGCAGGACAGACTAAATTGAATTGAAAGACTCAACTCCTAATCTTTCCAAAAAGAAAGGTTTCCTTGTTTTTGAGTGTTTTTTTTTCAGTATTCCTCCCTGCATAATAAAGAACTGGTTGAAGCTGGAGATAAAAAAAATGATATTTATATTTTAGCTCTCAAGTCTGAACACGCCTAAAACGTGGGAAAACGTTCACAGTGTTGCATCTTCCTTTAAAGGGTTATTGCTCAGCTTACACTTTGTGTTTTTCTTCTTCTGGGAGAGGAAAATACCTATAATGTCTCTGAGAAGGGTCTGTTTGGAAAGACATACAGTAATTTATTTTCTGCAATCTGTTTCAGCACCCAATCTCTTGATAAACTGTGCAGTGCTTAAACATTTCTTGCTGCCTAGATGACAGTATCCAGTTATTTT